CAGCCCGAGTGTGAACCTCACAGTTAGCAGCCTGCACCGAGCCCCCCGCGGCACTGGGGCTTCTCGCCACTTGGATATGGCACCTTTAATGTTAGGATCGTAAGGTCTGTCTGTCTGCTGGGCTTCTTGTGTCCTCCAGAAGAAGCTGCCCGGATAGATTCTGAAAGCTGGGTAAAGAGGAAACACCTGAGAAACCGTTTGTCTGTTACACATGTTCTCAGGTGCTATTGGGTTAGATTTTACTAATAAATCTAATTTGCTAGTTAGATTGGTCTGTAACAGAACACAACCCAGCCTGGTCCCGGGCCATGCCCACAGTCTTTGCTCTGCTGGAGCCCATGGCGTTGGCCTGCGTCTTGAGCAGGCGTCCTCAAACTGCAGCCCGCGGGCCACCTGCGGCCCGCCAAGGACATTTATCCGACCCGCCAGGTGTTTTTGCCCCGTTTGTTTTTTTACTTCAAAATAAGATATGTGCAGTGTGCATAAGAATTTGTTCATCGTTTTGTTTTTGTTTTTTAACTATAGTCCGGCCCTCCAACGGGTCTGAGTGACGTGAACTGGCCCCCTGTTTTAAAAATTTGAGGACCCCTGGTCTTAAGGAGGCCTTTTCACAGCGTGTGTCCTCTTCCAGCGGCTGGTCCCTGCTGGTGACATGTCCAAAGTATGAGAAATAGGCTCTTGTCATCTGTGCTTCTGATGAATATTCAGGCTGTATTTCTTCCAATAGTTTGCTAATCCATGATCTGTTCTGTATTCCTTGCCAACATCATATTCCAAGCGCGTCGAATTTTCCATATATACTGTCCAATCTTTGCATCTGAACTACATGGCTTGGATCAGATATCCCTTAGTCCTCCAAGTGGCAGCTTTGCTCACTAACAATTTTAAAGGATTTTTTTTTTTGCAGCGGTTCAATAAATTGATTTGATTGCTGCTTCCACAAGCATTCATTGTGGAGCCAAGTAAAATGAAAATCTCGACAATCCCAACCCTTTCTCTATTTATCGTGATAGTTTTGTGTGTTTTTTCCCCCTTCGGGAGGGGGGTGGTCCAGTTCTGAGGGTTGGTGGGTTTGGTTTTTGTTTTGTTTTTCCTAATGTTAGGCAGCACTCTTCCGTCAGTAAATGCTCCAGGCGCTTCACTTTCAGCAAGCAAGGTTGTGTCATCTGCACAGCCACGCTGTTAGTGAGTCAGCAGCCAGTCCTGATGCCCCCGTCTTCACGATACAGTCTAGAATCCTGACCCACACACTTTCTGGTGTGAAACGATGCAGAATTCCCTTATTCTGTTTGAAGGACTGCCTCTCAGTCTATGTCAGATTCAGTGTGAGCACGTGTAGTTGTTCTAGAATTACCATTCTTCGCAGTGTCGTCTGTAACTTTGTTATAACCCGCACATTTAATTGGCTTCACATAGTGAAACATTTCCTGGCATTCTCTATTTCTCAGGCAGGATCCATCCGGCACCGCCTGTGGTAGCCCTTGTTCCAGGTCCTCTTCTGAATCCAGCTTAACTTTCTGACCGCCCCTTGATGGTGTTCCACTGCTGCTGTGCCTGCATTAGCTTCAGTGTTATCTCGTTGGCCAGAAATGCACTGTCATTGACTCGATTCCAGCTCATCGAGACTCTCGGCCAGGTGGATGTGACCCTTTGGGGTCCTGAGACTGACTCTGTACAGGAGCAGAAAGTCTCACCTTTCTCCGGAGGAACGGCTGGTGGTTTCCAACCGCCTTCCTTGCTGTTCGCAGCCCCGCGTGCAACCTGCGTGCCTCCAGGGCTCCGTCTCACTGTCCTGTGGTATTGGAGAATTTCTACGTTCTGTTGGCTCTTTCCTTTGGCATGGACATACACATGGACCTCTTTCAGTTGGTTAGCCAGGCACAGATGGATGAGTGCTTCACATGTTGACACTTGTTTGTTGAAACATCTCATTTGGTGTTGTCACTTCCTGGAAGCTGGTGCTTCACCAGTGCCTACAGAACAGGCTAGACTTCTTTCAATACCGTTGATTTTTAATCATATGCCGCCTCATTAAATGGTTGTAGATGGACCAGTTCTTTTTGATACAACGCCGATTCCTTCCATCTTCTTTTTGATGAATTAGACATTGTCTCATAGTCTACCCTTAGAATCCCATCAGTATTGTAACTACAAGCTTGATTTTTTTTCTCTCGTCCATTCTTTCAGTTTGAGATACATTGAGCGTGTTCTTCCTTTTTGCCTTTCTAACTCGTTGGTCTTTGCACATTCATTGTAATGCTTTTCTCAAGCAGCTGTTTAAAAATCTTGTTTATTTCCTTTACTTATTAGTTCTTCCGTTTACTTTTGCTCCTCTACTGCCAAGAGCAAATTTTAGTCTCTTCTGACATCCAATTAGGTCCTTTTTTTCTCTGCTGCCTGTAATGAACTTTTACTTCTTCCCATGGATGATACTCTTGATGCCATCCCCCCACAACTCATCTCGTTTGTATACGCCTGCTCACTTTCTCCCCTGACGCAGAAAAGCTTCTGTATTAATCTCTCTAGATGGTACATTTTCAGTTTTTTAGGATTTCTATTACCAAGGACAAACTACCACAGATGTATCAGCTCAAAATAATGCCCACATTTAGTATCTCACAGTTTACCTGGCTCAACAGTCATCCAACCAAGGCTTCCAGCTCTCAAAGTGTTGGCTGGCCCATGCTGTTATCTTCCAGGCTCACAGAGTTGTTCGAAAGAATTTAGGTTCTCTGCAGTTGTAGGATCTGAGCCCCGGGGCTCTTACTGCAGGCCAGCTGTGGCTCTCCAGCCCCACCATCACCAGACTGCTGCTTCAAGGCAAGCAAGAATCTCGTTACTTCAGCCTGCTAAAAGGGTTACATTCTAGTATATGTAAAACATAAACTGGCCTGGGAGCGACAGCCCTTCACCTTTGCCATAGTCTGCTGGAGCTAGGAGCAAATCATGGCTTCTACCCACACTCAAGTGGAGGAGATTGATCGAGCAGGGTGTGAGAGATAGGGGCAGCAGATCATGCAGCCCGTCTGACCTGAACTTTGACTACTACTTAAACATTTTTAACTAGTCCCTGCCTCGCTCTCAATTCTCAAAGGGACCCCAAGTTCCTAAATCCTTGGAAGATTGAGTTGTATGGCATACCTGAGTATTAAAAACTGTGTGGTGGAGTCCCTCGACCCCCTTTAACTTAATAAAGGGGAGAAAGACTGGAGACCAGCCTAAAGCTGATTCCTAGTATTCAGGCCTACCTCCTCTCAGTAACCTTTTTACCAGTTCTGACACAAACCAATGCTCCCAGAGTTCTCTGTACTTGTATGCTGGGCTTAATCACTAATTACAGGGGCCACACAGAACTCAAAGAGCATCCTTAAAATTAGTGGGTTTTATTAGGGAAGGAATAGGTCGCAGATCAGGTTCAGGAACACTCAAGATGCAGTTCTTCCATTAGGACAGCCACGTCTCAGCTGTGCTGTAAGCAGACCTTTCTGCCCCTCTGCTTGACCTCTGCTCTGCCACTATGTGCCCGCTGGGAGGCACCCACTCCGCCAGTAAGCCTCTACCGGAAGGCGCTCAGCTCTAGCCCTGTGGGTCACAAGCCTAGCTCCACAGACAAATGCCAGAGGTACCCCACCTCAGGCCCCCGATTCTGCCCGAAAGCCCACTCTGCTGCCCCGCACCACCCCACCACACACCATCTTCCTTGTTCTGTGTCTCTGCCATCTCAATTACCATTTCCGTTTAAGATGGAAAGGTTAATATCTCACATTTTCCCATACCGCTTCCTTTGCATGCGTGCATGTGGACCCTTGGTCTCATTTGTACCTCTGAGCTACGTGCCTCATCCCTCAGTCAGAACCAGCCCCAAGAGATACCTGCACAGTGGACCTGGAGTGCATGTCACACAAAATCAGAAATTACTGGTGACTTTAGCTAGTTACAGTTAGTCAGGATCTTTCTTTGAGGGTAACGCATGTGAGACTCACTTTAAGAAACAACCGAGAGCAATATGAGGTGATGTACACACTGCCCCGCCAGTCAACATTCTTAGAGTGGTGGCTGACGCGTTAGATTGAGGGACTGTGGAGTGCCGTCGTGAATGCTCCTCCCTGGGCCTCTTTAGCAACTGTTAGCTTCACTAAAAACGGTCTTCTGTGTATAGAGTTTGCACTTGGTGAGAGAACTGAGTAAGATACGGGCAGGTGCTCCTCTCCTCTCGAGACCCAGGCCTGTATTCAGCCCAGAGAATATAGCCTCACTCTGTCCGCCAGGCCTCCCCAAGTACAGTCAATCACTGGCCTGGCCTCTCACTTCTCCACCTTGTCACTTCCTGGTGCTTCTGAGCTGTAGATCCCGCAATGGAGAGGGAGGGAACAAAGGGGTCTCAAAGGGCTCGCCTTCACAGCACATGGAGCTGTGGGCACATTGTGTCTGCAGGCAGGGGTTGACCTCGCATTTCAGTCCGGGTCATTCCGAGGATGGCTGGACCTCCCAGGGCCACTGGGAGCCAGAATGGATTGGAGTGGAGCTGAATTCCTGCACTGTGCCGGGGACCACCCTAACTTCCGAGGCGGGGAAATTGGATGCATGTTCTACACTGGCTTTTAAAAAAAAAGGATTGTGCTGCTTGTTCGCTGTGCCAATTAGGGGCATAACATTTGGACTGTTAATTCCATCGTGTTGGTTTTCCCTAAGCTGGGATTCTTGGCCTTTTCAGAGTTGTCACCGTGTAACTGAAATTCTTTCCTTTTTTCCGTTCAGCCCTCTGGAGTATGATGCATTGCTACAAAGAATGGGAATTCATTTTTGTTTTTTAGAAATGTTAACACACGTGTCCCCTCTGATCAGGTCACAGGATTTCCTTGTTCTTGTTTTACCCTGGCTTCCATCCAAATGTGCCAGAGCCAGGCAATACAAGGTAGGAAAGGTAGCCGCAGTCAAAGTGATCCACAGCGCTTGCAGAGTCCCCAGGCAGCAGGCAGCTCTGTTTTATTGTAAGCGCGATGGATGTGGTGGAAGGGATATCCCTGGAGGAGAAGCTGGATTGTGTCAGCCAGAGCTGTGACTTCCAGCTTTCGGGCCGTGACAAATACACTGAACTCGCCCAATGTGTGGTCCCATCATTCAGGTGGGTGAAACAGTGCCTTTAATGATGCAACAGAATTGGGTAGACATTTAATATTTTTTTGAAAAGCATGTATTTTTGTTCACTCTTGGAATGACATTTTTAATGTGCATGTTGAAGAGGCTCCAGAAAGTTCATGGAAAAACAGAATTGTAAGGTAATGTAGATTTTTTCCGTAGCCCTCCTGTATATTAGGTTAGAACAAATTAATACCTGTTCAATTTTAGGAAATTGAATTCAGGTTTTCTTTTACTTAAATTTGGATACGTCTTTTTAAATCAATTTTATTCATCATGATACCTTTTTTTAAATATCAGCTAAAAAGTAGTGTTTTTGTATTGAGTAAGCAGACAGAATTCCCCGGTGGCTGTCAGGTCCCCCGCCCTTGTTTTGAAAGCAGGGTTGCATCTGAGCCTCTTTGGTAAATCTCTGCCACGGGCTTTGCAATCTCCCCATGATTCCTTGCCCCTCAACCCCATGACTATGACTGGGAGGACGTGAGAGGACGGGAAAGGGAAGGTAATGGAGCATAATGTTTCCAAATTCTCAAAATGCCAGTGGGAACTTCAGTCATAAGGCCAGATCTGCCCTTTCGTGGGGCCAAAGGGCCATAGGCAACCGGATGGTTTTCACAGGTTAGTTGTTGGTTGGGGGTGGGGGGTGGGGCAGCAGTTACCTAAGCAGTTCTTTTTTTTTTCCTTTTCTTTATTTAAATAGTTTTATTGGCACTTAATCCACATATCACACAACTCAATATATAAACAGTTCTGATGAATGATTGTTCTAGGTCCTTTACCCCAAATGTAATAAATCGGTGAGTCCCTGCTGATGCAAAGGCATTAGGACCCCAACATGTGGGAGGAAATATCGCTGGACCCTCCTCTGAGCCTTATTAGCAGCTCTGTTCACAGCGTTTGATGACACCCACCCCCACCCCCCCCAAGCCCTTACAGCACTGGCCTTCCACTCAGGAACTGTACGTGCCCCTAGGCAGCCGGGCTGGCCTCACCTTCACCCTCCCTGTTAGATGGATAGAGCCCATCCATCCATTTTCTTTGAAAATGGAAATAAATTGCTATTATAAAAGAAACACATGCTTTTTAAAAGAAATTAATCTCAATCATTCAGATCTATTTCAAGGGGAAAATAAATTCTATTTCATCTTGCCAATCTAGTTACTATAGTTGGTTTGATTATCATGTATGCCATTTTTTAAAAAGGAAGTTTGCATACTGTTGCATAAAAAGCTTTCTTTTTTTAAGTTTACAGTACGTTATGGATTTCTTTGCTTTTGTGTGCATACCTCGTTCACATTTAATTGCTGCGTGATATATATCACAGTGTGAGTGGAGCACATGCCTACCTCCTCGTGTGATAGTCTAGCTTATTCCAGAATACCCCAGGTCCTTATAAATATCTTTACGTGACAGCCTTAGGGTAACTTGTGAGAAGCCGAGTTTCTGGGGTAAAGGGTCCAATTGCAGTCTAGAAAGGGCCGAGTCTACTAATCTCCAGCCATGCAAGAGAGAGCCATACACGGAGGGTGGGTTTCGGTATTTCCCCCCTTTTTACCAGTCTGTTAGGTAAAAGCTGCCTTAATGTTTTCATTTGCTTGTGTCTAAATCAAACTGAGAATCTGTGTTTGGGCCATATGTGTCTTTGCTTTTTTTTTTTTTAAACATTTTATTAGGGGCTCATACAACTGTTATTGTAATCCATACACACATCAATTGTGTAAAGCGCATTTGTACATCATTCTCAAAACATTTTCTCTCCACTTAAACCCCCGACATCAGTAAATAACTTGTCTACTTATTAATGACAGAAGTGTTTTTAGTCCAAATGCCCGACCCTTTCATAAGCTTTGTTACGTCTTTCCCATAAGACTTTTCCATGTTGAAGTAGTCACATCTGTGCCCTTTTCCTTGTGGCTCCCCTTCCCCACCTCCCAGTGAGGTCTCAGTTTGGTGCCTCCAGGAACGCTCTGAGATGGTGATTTCAGTGCCAGGAGCTTGGCCACAGAAGTAGAGGGTTGGAAAGGAGAGGTAGTTAATAAAGGGGGCCTTCTGAAGCCCAGCCCCAGGGGGATACTGGGAAATTGGAAAAAGCGCTTGGGTCAGAATCCTCTCACACAACAATTAGGTTGTGGTACAGTGAGCTTACTTGATATGGCTCTTCCAGTCATCGTCTTGGTAACTGCCACTGAATGACTGGGAGTGGGACCATGCAAATCAATCCACTATGTATGAAATTCTTAACATAGGGCCTGGTTGATTTTTGCCATCTGAGTAGGTATAAAATGAGCAATTGCAAAAGTAGGAATGGGGGAATCTCATAACCATCAAGAAAGAACAGCCAGAAGCAAAGTGTGCCCTTTGGACCCAGAGTTTCTTGTGCTGAACCTCTTTGATGGAGCTGTGATGTGACCTGAAGATGCTGCAGCAGCAGCACCTGCCAGAGCGCAGAGCAGAGCACTGTGCAGAGCCGCACGCGTGCTCACTGGCCCGCAACTCGAGAGAAGCTGAGTACCTCTAAGCACATCATCCGGAAAACTGGCTTGGACAGTCCACAGACTCATATCCCAGCACCTTTGGGCTAAGGCATCTATTTTGGCTTTCAGCATTTATCAGCAACTCTTAAGGAGCCTTGCCTGAGCACAGCAGAGGTTAGGGACCTTACGGCTGAGAAGCCAATCGCCAAAGAGATGTATTTGTGGAGATGGCTGATAAGAGGCTCTAACCGAAAAACTGCTGTATCCTGAGCATTTCCCATCCTGAGTTGTGACCTGTTAACGTTCCCATATGGTGGCTATTGAACGTAAGTTCTGCACGGCCATTGCAGCAGCTAGATCAGCCAGCCCAGCAGAGAAAGTAGAGTGCTGCGGCAGCGAACTCGGGAGTCAGACTTGGCAGTCGGTTGGAGGGTGGAGGCAAGTAGGACTTCTACTTCATAGGAATTGGCCTTGGACCCACGCGGAGTTTGAGTGTAGTCAGAAACTGGCCCCACACCATTCCTGCCATGCTCTTGGAGAGTATTCCAGATAGTTCTTGCTTATAACAAAACCCGGAGGTGTGTAAACTACCACCACTTTTATTATAACCTCTCCTGGTTCGGGAGGTTGCACAGAGCTGAGCTCACCTGGGTTTTCCGGACTTAGGTGTGTGCTTGTGGGGACCCAAGGCTTCCTCCACGGGATTTTCCAACTGGTTCAAGACAGTTTCCACCCCCAGGTAGACTGAATCCTCATCTAGATGGTTCTTAGAATCCCCGGGGTGGCGGTGGGGTGGGGTGTGTGTGTGTCTTGTTGTCTTGTTAACATGCAGATTCCGCGGCACACCTGGCATAGAAATGCAAATTCTCAGCTGGGAGCCTGGCGGTGTTTCTCACTCTCCTGGGGCTGGTGTCTGGGCCTGAAGGCTCACCCGTTTCTCTCTACCTGGCTGAGCCAGCAGGTAGGCTTGCTGGGAGCTAGACTCCTGAGGTGGTGGGCTGAGGTTTCCAGGGTGCTTGGAGAAAGCCAGCTCCCCTTCTACAAAGAGGACTTGGCTTGGGAAGTCACGGTGCATCACGTCGGCATTTCTGCCACCCACAGTCTGAGGGATTAAGAGTTAGCCACCACCTTTGACCAGAAGGGTCAAAGAATTTTGGGACCCCAGTCAGCCCTGTCCTGCCCGACAGCTGCCACAGCAGAGCAGCTTTCAGGCCCAGATGCAGCTGGGACAGGTGAGAGCCCGCCAGAGCTAACTGCCAGGGGCCATTGACAGCCACCCTGCCAGGGGCCAAGGTGGAAATGCCTCTCCCCCCATTTCTGAGAAGGCTCACTTATATTTTCTTCTAGTCACTATGTGGAGTTTTTTTGCTTCTGCTTTGTTTTAAATGTCTGCTAGGAGTAAGAAG